CTCCCTCTTGCACTCCGACCGGAGCGTGACTCGGAAAGCGAAATCTACCCGCCGTTCCTCGTTAAGCAGCTAAATTGATCACCCGTCCTGTCATCCCGGAACCCTGTCCATCTTCAGCCCCCAAGGGCTCGAGCGTGCATCGAAGCGGCATCAGAAAGATCCCCTCTCCACCTCAGCGACACCGCATAATCCTGCCTGACCACGCCTTCCGACCGCTCCTTCCCCCTTCACACACACATCCACACAATTGCACTCCGCTATGCAAGCTCGCCATACGCCGACCGACGAACACCGCAGCAAGAGAAAGTTCCAACCCAGCATCACAAGCTATTTCGAGGTGCGGGACGATTTCGAGGATACCGACGATCTGCGGGGCCTAGATCCGATTACCCGACCGCGACACCAAAACACGAGGCAACACCAGCATCAGCACAGGGAGAAACTCGCTCCTGACGTCCCCGGCCGAGTCCAAGCAGACCTCCTCAGCGTCGGCATGAGAGTGCGAAAGAGCGTGCCGGAAGGCTACAAGATCCACAAGACATCCGGCCTCCCCTCCATCCAAACCACCATGTCGCGGCCCACCCTAGCCGTCAAACCACCCCGAGAGCCTGTATCAGAAGAAGTGCTGCACCAGCGCGAACTCCTGCCCTTCTGCGGCTTGAACAAAATTGGCGGCTTCGCAGAACAACCAACAACAAACCCACACCTCTACGCTGCGAACGGCACGCCACCACCTCCAAACTACTTCCCCCTCCCAGCCGAAACCTTCACCCAGCCCTTCTCGTCCAAAGCCTCCACAGACAGCGGATACTCAACGACTTCGCAACGTCCACACAACCCCTCGAAACGCTCATGGCAGGACGAAGATGAAGTCAGGACATTAGACACGACATTCTTCTTCGGCTCATCATCGTCGACAAGGGGAATGGGCATGGGCGTCGAAATCGACGAAGTGCCCGTTAGCCCGCTGAGTGAAACGCCACCTCAGGGACTCAATATGCAGCCGCCACCGCGTCGCGTCGCGCTGCCCAAGTCGAGACGGACAGTGCAACGGACGATTAGTGACGATGATATTGATATGGATTTTGAGAACGCGGCGCACATGGAAGGAAGAGTCGGCGCAGGTAGTGGAAGTGATTTCGAAGAGGCGGACTTTTTGAGCAAAGAGGTGGATATGGGTGGGATCTAAGGAGATCATATCACACCTACAGTCGGTTTTCTTGTCGTCCCGGCACCTTCTCGCTTCTTCGCTTCTTGTATATACCTTGGTTCTGGTCTGGTTACACGGTCTTTCCTTTTGGTCTCTCTCCCCCGACACGCGAAGCCGTCATTACAGGCGGCGCAACAACGGCGTTCATGAACAAGCGATGTATGTAATGTCGGCGCGTATACCCGATTTATCTTTCTTGGTTGTCTAGCTGGTAAATCTACTCTTGGTTTCCCCAAACGGCCTCCCTTTGCGATATGCACTCCTAGATCTCCTGATTAATCAACGCAGCACTATCACAGATCTCTTCACCATGAACATTAAAAACCGACTGCCCATCTATCGTAACATTCCTCGTCGTAAACCCAAAACAATGGCCCCCTTCCCAGTCATTACTCACATCGAAAGTATTGCGCCAACAAACCGCATTACAGAGGGGATTACGACCTGCTTGTATATCGGTCCGGTTGTTCTGATTATACTGCGCGCATATGTCGATGCATTCGTCGAGGCTTTTTACGACGCCCTGCACGGGAGCCGCGACGCCGCCGGTGTTCAGGTAACTTGCATTGCAGAGTTTGCGGAAGTGGTAAGATGCGCTGCCGTAGGTCACGGTGCGGAGTGTGTTGTTGGAGGACGGGCAGTCGCGGAGGAGCGTGGGTTGTGGGCTGGATGTTGGGCCGAGGATGGTGGTTGTGCTGACGGTTTGGGTTGAGGATGTGGGGGATGGTGTTGTTGAGGTCGACTGTATGCTGGTCTCGGGTATTATGGTGCTGCTGGTCGAGCTGGTCGAGCTGGATTTGCGGGTTGCAAGCGATCCCCCGACTCCACCGCCCACAGCACTGGCGATGATGATAACGCCCGCGACTAGTACGATCCAAAATGTTTTCTTCCGCAGGCCACATATCGTTTGCGGTGCCGACTCTACATGCGCAGGCGTGATGCTACCATATGCGATCTTGTCTGTGTCTGTAGGGGCCACCGAGTAGTGCGCGTATTTGTGCGTATCCTGGTCAGTACTACCAGCGACTTCCGGATCGGTACTGGAAGCGACCTCCAAATCAGAATATGGAAGCGATGCCATCCTGAACAGGTCGCGATGAGGAGAATCGCGTAAATTTCGAGAACGAGGTTGAAGGAGGCGATACTGTTGTTTCTCGGGGGGCGACGTTCTCGGGTGTTTATACTTTGAGACTACTGCGGCGGGCGTCGTACAGCCACAGTAAGCGTTTGGGGGCCAAATGGCTTTTTACAGCCACAAGTCGTAACTGATAAGGGGTGAACTGTGGAACTGCAGTTCTGTCGTTTTGAGATCTACCTTGCTTAGATTGATGTTACTTCACCGACGAAGGACTAGATGGGGCCCTTTATGACCGAGTGCTTTTTTGACTGACATACTTCAGCAGCATAACATCAACCAATCAAAACTACCGTCAACACACCTAGTCGGAATTCCTTCGCCTATGAAGCCTCCTTCCACAACACCTCATCCTTCTTTTCCGCCGCTCTAGAAAGCTCGAAAGGAAGAACCCGGCTGTGACGACTTCCCCAACGTCACACTTCCAGAAACATGGGCGGAAATACTCATTAGCTGAATCAAATGGCTCATTTCATTACTTCACCAACAGATGTCACGCATTTGGATAGCAGCGGCATCGAATCGAATGATCAGGCTGATCCCGCTGTCACGACTTGTGCTCCTTCCTCGCCTCACACTTCTCCGCCGACGTCCTCATCGACATCCTATTGGAAGCCTGCCTCTACTGCAAGATATACACACTCCATCTCGCTGAAGAACTTTACTATGTTTCACATCGGGAGTCGAAGCACACCGGTAGTGTGCTGGCCGTGGATGTGTTCGTTGAAGTGCCGAATAGGTAGAGAGAGGAGAAGAGGGAGTAGAAAATCCGGGTTAGGTTGTCAGGTATATGCTGAGGAGTGTTAGAAGGGCTTTGATAGGCGGAAGGATGAGGATGGAGATAGTTTGTGGGAGTGGGGTTCAGATACCTAATTATGATCATGCTAGGGGAGGATGCTATAGCGGGGTGGCTGAGTTCTGCTTTTGAGCTTGCGACCTCTGGGTTATATTTCAAACCAACAGGCTCTTTGAGGTATACATGGTCTCGTGGTGTGTAAGCTCTGCTGAATATGCTGCAATGTATCCCTCAGGGTACACTCTGATGCGGCGCTCACTTCGACAGATTCGGTAGCTCACTGCTCGACTACAGACCCCCTTTCACTTCTTGTTTGCCTGTGCGTAGCGAGTTCACGCTGTTTAGCCACGCAAATTTGGAATCGCGACCGCATACACGCTTGCTTCTCCACTCAACTCACAACACCCACGTCAGTCAATAACACTATGGCCACCGACTCTGAGCTGGAGCCTCCTCGCAAGAAAGCGCGCTGCTCGGCAGACGAGGGACCTAGGTAAGCAACCGCGCCTATTTCATGCAATATACGCTAAAGATCACAGTGTCGAATCGAAGCCGATTGTCGTGCGCGTTGGCGAAACCAAACAGGATTTCTACGTCCACGAATCACTGCTCCGCGCAAACTCACGGTTCTTCGACAACGCGCTCAAGAAGGAGTGGAGAGAGGGACAGGAGGATGCAGTTGATCTACCGGTTCACGATCCAGACCTTTTCAGGACATGGGTCAAGTTCCTCTATACTGGACGAGTTTTCGTTGGAGGGGCTGAAAACCTAATGGACAACGAGCGGAAGCACTATCCAGAGCTTTGGGCATGGGAAGGCCTCTATGATCTCGGCGTTTATCTCGATGACAGTGACTTCCGAGACGCTTTGATCGACGCTATGATCGACTGGATGTGTGCTTCATGCAAGGTTCCCATGAAATTTGCCCGCTGCGTCTATCCACTTACAGCGGAGTCCTCAGCCCACCGAAAACTTGGGGTTGACGCCTTTGTCAATATCGGCCGGCGGGTTCCAGTGGCAAATATGAAGTCTTTCCCACCCGATTTCATGCGCGATATCTTGCGCGAAATCATGCCAAACCTTCGCGAGGGCCTCGAATGGTCATCTGCAGTGGACTGGTTCAAGGATATGGACAGCTGCCATTACCACGATCACGGAGACAAGCCTTGCTACAAGACCAAGCCCAGGTTTCGGTACTGAAGGCTTTTGTTGCTTTCAAGCCCAGGTAACGATAATGAGTCTAATGTACGAAGCTTGTTTTCCCTATGTACGTAGGTAGCCCCACTCACTTCATGTACGATATGCTGACACGTTTTAGCAGTACCTGCGTATCCTGCATCACACGACTCATTCCTCGATTCCTCGGCGTCTAGTAGAAGACAAACGGTTTTGGTATTAGGATAACGACATCAGAAGTCCGGGTGCTAATGCCTTTTGCAGCATACATTGGCGTTAAGGCCTGTCATGCACCGGCTTTTACACCCATGTAGCTGTCAGCCCGTATTATCAGTATAGTTCAATGCGAATACACTAGATTTTTGCCTCTCTCATGCTGACTACTATACATCCACACCACTGTGATACACGCTCACTCTATACCTCAAACGAAGTCGCGATGGCGAGCACCTTTACCTAATAGCATCTTCGCTGCCTTCACCTGTTAGTTTAGAGCTAGTCTGCCACCATATAAGACGCACCCTCTACCTTTAGACTCTGACTTCCACCACGAACTCACTCCCGACGTTGAATCGTTCGTCATCACCTAGGCAACGTTCGCGATGACAAGCAACACGAACTCCCGAAAGCGAGGCACCGATCAGCCAGACAAACTCCCTGATCCGAAGAAGTTGAGGCGGGCCATGGCCGACAGACCGAGGTGAGCATGAGCTAGTTTGACATCGAGATACTCAACTGACCAACTACAGCTGCTTGTTTAAGAAAATCACAATTCTCGTCGGGGACGATGAAGAGCCATTCATCGTTGATAAGGGCACTCTTCTCGCCAGCTCCGACTTCTTCAGGAAGGTCTTCGATACGTCGCTCAACATCAAGGATCCAGAAGAGGTGGATCTGCCAGACGTTAAACCCCGAGCTTTCGAAATTTACCTTTGGTGGCTCAGAACTGGCATCTTCTACATCATGGAACAAGACGACGTCGATGATTCTGCAGAAGAAGACGAACTTGGCATTATTAATGACGAGGAGTACTCAAAGTGGGATGAGTGTTACATGCTTGGTCACCTCGTACAGGACTGTGACTTCCAGGATGCCTGCATCGACTTGATGCAGGAGAAGATGATTTCCGAAGATGTGCACATGCTGGAGATGCCTGATACTGTATACGGGATCGATGTTATACTTCCAGCACATCGACAGTTCGCAGTTGATACGGCAGCTCATCTCTGGGGGGAACTTACATTCAATAACTTGGAAGAAGACGATAATTCTCGTGTGTTCATCATAGATCTCCTCAAGTATGTCAGTACGAAGATGAGGCACAACAAGGTGGCGAAAGAAAAGCCCAAGGACTTCTTCAAAGACATCGGTTGCAAGTATCATGCGCATGTTGCTCTCAACAAGCCTTGCTACAAGAAGACTCATCCAGCCTACAAGTAAGCAAAGAAAGGTACCTCACTGCTTCTCACTCTTCGAGGAATGCTAACCAGCATCCTAGTCTCCAACCCTGAGAGACTGAAGACTGCCCAGCGATCCGACCAACCACTGCGTCTTACAATCGACTATCACTCTGCAACTATGGTTTTGCTTGAGGAAGAAAAGGGTTCATCACTTAATACATTCAGACATCAAAGGTTTTGGCAAAGTGGCTAGTCATTCTTGGTTTACATTTCGGTACTGGAGATCTATGTGAATCTGTTTATTCTGTGTGCGTTCTTGGTTCAGATTCATTAGTGCTATCATCAAGTAGATAGCTGCGCTAGAAAGCTAGCTTTCGAAGACAGTAAATCTCAATGAAAATAAGTCAAATCGTCCTTTCAGGCATACGAACACCTCATACCTCATGATGTCTTGGAGCATGCACGCGCAAGGTAAGTTCTTTCGCGATTGCGCATCGCCCGACTAACCGACTACAACGCAAAGATGCCCTTGAAATACCCCTCAACGCCCTTACACCCCTCCCCATCAACCTCATCAATAAACCCAACATACTGATCCGGCCTCGCGACAACCACACACCCTCTCTCCCTATCAACACCATACCCCTTATACGCATCGCCAAAGCCCTCAAACGGATTCGCATCATCCGCATACACGGAGTCGTAATCCCAACCCGTTTTCGCATCGAACGGATGTAGGATATCCGGGATGTCGCGTAACAGCTCCACCTCTTTCCACTTGGACGAGTGCAGCGTAAGCACCTCGATATTCTTACCAAGATGCGGTGCTAGTACCGATGACGACTCGAGGGCCTGGCAGAAGGTCTTCAAACGGGCGCTCTGCTGAGCGTTTGCAACGTTGCCAGCGAAGACGATGATGCGGAACCGTCCGTCGCTTTTGAGCTTCTGCTGGAACTCCCACGCGCGGCCGTCGGCTTGGTTGATGACTTGGTGGCTGGGGAAGCGCATGCCGAGTTTGATTTCCGAGGAAAGCTCTTGCTTGCCGATGACGGGGGACGAGGAGGAGACGTCTGTGCCGTCGCCTTGGTCGGCGGCGGAGCCCGGTTTGCCGATTAGCATGCTCGTGCCGTAGTCGACTGAGAGGCCGGTTGCGAAGAGCTGGCCTGGAGGGTGGGTTAGCGAGGGAGTGGTTAGCGTGAAAGATGTTGCGCACCTTTCAGGAAAGCGTTCTTGAACTCGTCCATACTGACGCCTTCTTCGTCCATGACGTCCTTGGCTGGTCGACCGGAAAATAGCCGGGAGAACTTGTGGTCGAATGCGATGAGGTCCTGTGCGATACGCCTGCGCTCGGACTGGTAGGTCTTCAGAATGGAGGGATGAGCGATGCCTTTCACAACCAATCCCAGCTTCCAGCCTAGGTTGTACCCATCCTGCATCGAGACATTCATACCCTGACCGGCCTTCGGAGAGTGCGTGTGCACTGCATCACCAGCAAGGAAGACACGGCTCTTGTGGTCGAAGTTCTTGCCGACTCGCTGGCCAATTTGGTATGCCGTCCACCAGTCGCAGTATTCGTATGTCAGTTTGTACGGTGCCATGATCTTTTGTGCTGCTGTGATAATGGTCTCCGGGGTGATCTTTGACCTGTCCGCTCGACCACTGGCGTCGGGCTTGATCTCTGTGAGCTGGATGTAGAGGCGGGCGATTTTGTTCTCACGCGGAATGATCATCATTGATCCGGAGGACGCGCTGTGGATAGCGCAGCGTTTGCGAACATCCGGAAAGTCTGTGATGGGGATGATGTCCAAGACGCCCCAGATGTGATCGGTGGGCTCGCCTTCAAGCTCAAATCCTAGTTGCTTTCGCGTCCAGCTGTGAGCGCCATCGCAGCCTACGACGTACTTCGCCTTGACAGTCTCAGTGCTGCCTTGCTTCTGCTGGCTGTTGGCGATAAGGTCTTCAGTGTCGTCTTCTGCCAGATTGCTCCTGAAAAGACCATCGTTAACTCCAGATCCTGTGCTTTGCGCTGGTTTGGCCTCGTCCTCCGTGAGATATCGGAGCTGGACTGTAACAGGGTAGTTGTCGGGCGAGTGGTCATCAACTCGATCCTCGGCGATATGCAGTGACTCTGGTAACACCGCGCGTTCGACGCGTAGCGTATCCTTGGAGTGCTTTTTGATGTGATCGAGGAAGAACCTCTCAATCCGTCCCTGGTGGAGAACGATCTCCTTGAATCGTGAGAGACCGGGTGGCGTATCTGGAACTCCGTCGGAGCGGCGAATCACACCGTCTTCGCCGGGGTTCTGTGGATGTTAGGAAAGCTGGTAGTTTTGTTGAGTGTGACAACATACCCACATGCAAAACTGATTATTGGTTAGTAAGGTTTACTCGAGCCACAATCGGTTGATGTGCATACCTCTATCAAGTGATTTGCTTCCTTCCAAGCTCTATCCGCGAAACCAAAGCTATCAAAGATCTCCAGGCTGCGGAGCTGTAAACCATCTGCCTGTCCCGAGTAGATCTTTGTGCCGCGCTTATCTACAACACGAGCATTGATGCCACATCTTGCCATCCAAGCCGAGAGCATCAACCTAAGACCTAGTCAGTCTTGAACAATGGCCATTGTTGTGGTTATCGTTACCCTGCTGGACCAGCACCAACAATAAGACTTTGGACTCATTAGCTACATGCTCGCATTGCTGGACACCGGTAGACTAACACATCGCACTTCGACTCTGGGGTCTCTGGAATCGTCATCTTGTAGTCTCTTTGCCGTTGTCGCTAGAGTTGGTTGTTCGCGTGTATATACCTAGCTCAAAGGTTTCCTTCGACGCAAGATTGGCTATACACAGCACGAACGTGGCTTTCATCTAATATAAGACGGCCTTACAAACGCTCCGTCCCGCGCACCCTAGCAATCTCACACTACGGCAATGCTGTTCGGCGTGTCGCACCGCCCACATCCCGGCGTTGTCGACGCGATCTGGTGCGTGGCTACCCCACATCACGCCAAGCCGATTTGGACCGTATGACGCATGGAACGGCGTCCTGAGTTCGTGATTCGCGCATCTCGGTGTGGGCCTGAAGGTAAGCGCAAAAACGTTTTGGGGTTTGTCAGACGTTTGTCAGGTGGATGAGGTTGAAGAGGAGTTGAAGATGGGGATGTGGATGCAGCCGTACCGGGTGCGGCTGCGCTCCTTCCATCGTGCGTCCACAGCGCAAGGAGTGTGGGTCCTTGGTCATGCTTGGTAAATGAGAGGCTCTGGCAGCGGTCGGATTATGCAGCCAGGTGGCACGGTCGAGCTTGCTTTGATCAAACTTCTACGTTAAGAAAGATTGTGTTGCACAGGCGTAGTTGCTGGCCAGCTACGTAGGAGCAAATTCCGCTATTGAGACGGGGTCATGACGTACATACATCATCAGCGACGGCGACTTAGGTGCACGTCACCGACCCTATAGCTTTAGCTAGTCAAGTAGGAAAGTGTCGCTTCTCTGAATTCACACTTCCCATCAATCTTCGAGAGGCCACCAACATGTCCACAAACTACGACTTCAAAACCGCCCTCGTGACCGGCGGAGGCGGCGGCATCGGGAAGGCCCTCGCGCAACAGTTTACAAAAGACGGGAAGAAAGTCATCATTGCCGGCCGCACAGAGTCGAAACTCCAAGAAGCCGCAAAAGAAATCGGAGCAGCAGCTTACTACGTGCTCGATACCGGAGACGTCAAGTCTATCCCGGCCTTCGTCAAGAAGCTGATTTCCGAACATCCGGATCTGGACTGTCTCGTCAACAATGCCGGTGTGCAGCGTCCGCTTGATGTCAACGAAATGGATCCAGAAGAATTCGGAAGCAAGGCCGATCAAGAGATCGACATCAACCAACGTGGGCCCATGCACCTTACATTGCACCTGCTCTCACACTTCAAATCCAAACCAATGGCACTCGTCGTCAACGTGTCTTCCGTCCTCGGCTTCGTTCCGTTCTCCCTCGTCAATCCCGTATACTGCGGTACCAAAGCATGGCTGCACTTCTGGTCAATGAATCTACGCGCTCAGTTAAAGGATACCATGGTCAAGGTCATTGAGATTGCGCCGCCGACCGTAGCGACGGATCTGCATCGTGAAAGGAAGGATCCGGATGACAACAAGAAGGAGAAGAATCAAGCTGCGTTGAGTGTAGACGAGTTTACAGAGGAGACGATAGGGAAGTGGAAGAAGGGAGATGAGATGATTGCTGCGGGTCCTGCGAATAAGATTGTGGATACTTGGCAGGAGAACATGGGACCTATCTTCCAGAGCATGGCCAAATAATCATGGCGCCCCGACGAATTGATGTTTAGTTAATGAGACATGTGTTTTGTTCTGAAGTGACCTAGTGATATGACCTCGGGATGATGCGCGCACGTATCTCTTACCGCAGGCGCGCTCGATGCCCAGGTGTCAGCTGCAAGCGGCTAGCGTGATGCCTGAACGCCAACCTCAGACGCGATGCCAGCCATCTGAGTTTCAAAGGCGCGTCGAAAAAGTAACACAACAAGTTCTCTGACTCCAGAGCCCGATTCCAATCCTGGGTGATGATCCTGATGATCGTAGTTGCCAGCAGGCGGGACTCAATCTCAAACTCCCTGGTTACTCGCGCTCTTTCCTGACCCGCGACTCGCTCTCAAATACCTCTTCCGCCGCCACCTCATACCAGCCCACCGACTCAAGCTCACACACGTCAAACATCCCGTCCCGGTAAACGCCGCAAAAATGGTGAAATACCACCCGCGACCTACAGCGCGCACCAGAGGATCAATGATAGCAGCAGACGCAGCACTAAACGCGCCACGGGCAAGCTGACCCGACGCGTACGCCGTGCTCGGTACTTCAGGAAACACATCCACGAGCAGCGCATTCGCAGTATGACTTAGCAGAGTAGCCAGTGCGGAAACGAAGAACTCCAAGATCAGAGGAACGGCAGGATGAGTGTGTTGTTGCACCGTCCATCCATAGCCTGTGACCAGTGCCGTCTCGATTAGAATCAATGGAACCATATTCCTGAACCGAGCGCGTTCGATCGGGAAATCCAGGATATTTGCTGGATCGACAATCTCGGCTTGACGCGCGTGGTGCGCGTAGTTTATGTCCATGAGTTTGCCGGCTATCGTCCCGCCGATTGTCATGCCAGCCAGCGCAGGTAGGAAGCTTAGTCCGATTTGTAGCTCGTTGTAGTTGTATAGGTCTTTGAAGATGACGGAATGGGCCACTTGGAAGGTATAGTAGATTCCGTAGGACGAAGCGACCATCCAGAGAATCACGGCAGCGTCCGGATGACGGATCATGCGTATCGAGTCGAAGATTCTCGAGAGTGTCTGGGAAGGCTTGGGCATCGCATTTCGCTCCGTAACAGTGGACACCGCCTGATCGCTACTCTTCCGTCCGAGAAGCGATATCCAAGTCCGCCAAACCCCCGTGGCAGGCCTCCCTCCATTCCCCACAATCCCCCTCGACGTCTCCGGCAGCACAAACCCCACGAGAAGAAGACACAAAACCGCAATCCCCAACAGCGCCATGAAGACGCCCATATGCCCCGTCGACTTCATCGCCAACGCCCCACCAATAACCGGTCCAAACGCCGAAATGCCATTACAAGTTGACAACATCGGTCCCAACATGCCCCCTCTTTCCGACACCACAGCAACATCAGCCACAATCCCATACGCTATCGGCACCGTCGCCGAACCACCTATACTCTGAAACGCTCGCAGCGTAATCAACACCGGATAACTGTTCTTGTTCAACGCGAGACCCAGGCTCGCTAGCGTGTACGTGGTAACGAGACCGAGTAGTACGGGTCGGCGGCCATAGGAATCTGCTAGTGAACCGAATATACCCGGGGATATGGCTTGGCAGATTGCGTAAACGGTTACAGTTAAGTTGATGGCTTGGATGGAGACGGAGAAGTGGGTGCTGAGGGTGGGGATGAGCGGGAAGTAGATTGTCGTTGTTAGGGTGGAGATTAGTTGGATTATGCCGAGGATGTAGGTTAGGTAGGTGCGGGTTGATTTTGGGAAGGCGGAGTAGGGCTCTGCTGCGTTGCTTGGAGCTGGCTGGTTGGGCTTGGATGCTGTGGTCTTTTTGGAGGGGTTGTTTGGTGGTGCGGTGTCTTGCACTGGCATTATCTCTGGTGATGGTGGCATTGTGGATGATGAGTTTAGAGGAGTCCTCTACATCTCGAACTGTGGGCACGCGATATGTTACTATATGAAGAGATGTCGAGCATGCAGTCCGGGGATAAAGCCTCGCTTACTCGACATCAAGCCGTGCTACCCGAGACGCCCAGTTGAACCGTCATACATGATTGGAAGAGGAGAACCGTCCGGAGGAGAGTCGTCCGACTTGGCCTGCGCCCTACGTCGTCATTTCCCCAAGCTCGGTGGAATCCATGTGCTTAGATTAGAAGCATTCATCCCGGCCGCGGATTCCTTCCAACTGCCTCCGTCTCGAAACAGCAGACCGCTCAAGACGACCCGCAAAATAACTCACGACATCAACACCGCAGCAGAAACCTACTGTCACCAAATTCATACTGAATTGTAAGAGATTAGTCGATTTCCAACCCCTCCCTCAAAACCCTTACCCTCCTCTTCAACTCCTCCGTATCCCAAGCCCTACCCTCAACCCATTCCTTCACCTCCGCTACCATCTCCCACCACTCTCCCTGTTCACTCGTATGGCCCTTTTCCTTCGCTTCGTTCAACACGCGCCGCGCTTCACGCACAACGTGCCAAAAACGGTGTATCGTGTTTGCATCAGGGAACATCAGACTGCTTCCTTCTTTTTCACCTGGTATAGTTTGGGTGTAGTAGACGGGGAGGAGACGATGCGCCAGCGCTAGATAGTAGGGCTGGTAGAAAAGAGACGAGGTACTATTGTACCATTCACGGGGTTGATAGATTGCCTTTTCGAGATGGTATGGGCGGGATAGGACTGTTTGGAGGACTGTCGCTGCCACATTAAATTCCTCGTTTTCATCTCCGTTGTCTGGCAAGTTGTATATCATCTCCATGGCTTCAGTCAAGATACGCAGTGAGCCGCCGCTAACCCGAATGAAGAAGACCGCGGCACTTAGTTCTTCACTTTCGGATTTCGTAGCAATGATAGAGAGGGTCTTGAATGTTTCGACATCCGTGATGGGTGGGAGGAAGTGGTGGAGTGGTATGTGTGGATTTGCGAGGATGACGGTAGGGTCGTGGTAGAGTATCCATTCTTTTTGATCTTCGATTGGGTTTTGAAGTTCGGTGATGATGAGAGACTGGAGGTAGAGGAACTTGTTCAGAGCGCCTCGCACTATAAGTGTTTGGAGAATGTGGCTT